ACCCTGAAGGAGAGGGCAGGTGGCGATGCCAGTCTCTGTGCCCTCCAAGGATTTCCCACAAAAGTAAGAGGTGAAAAAAAGGGGGGGACCAGATTTAATTTCCTACAGCTGTCACACTGATGTGATAAATCGGCATCTCTACAGCTACCAGTGTCAGACCTTATGAAACTGTCCTAGTTATAAAAGTGACAGTATCTTGGCATATAACTGATTTGTTTTAAAAGTGACTTTATTGTGCTATTTATGCCTCTTAGGAATCAAGTGATTTCCCTGCCTCCCCTTCTCCCACCCTGGAAAATAAAATAAAAAAACCAGGCTGTGTGCTATCAAATCTTTCAACAGCACACCAATAGAGTCAAGCTTTTAATCCTGCAGTTGTAAGAAAATGTGTTTATTAGGAGTAAGTTATGCAAGCCCAAGCAACGTATTCAGTGCAGTCCACAAATGTTTTCATTTTAGGTGGAAAACCATAAACTGAAATCTAGAAGAGGCAATGAGTGAACACAACTCCCCTTTCCATAATTTTGCAGACATATCATGTGCAAAACTGCTTCTTTTCAAAGCTGCTCAGAGCTGACGTTTGGCATTTGCATTGGTTTATTTGTCAGAATGCTACTTCTTAGTCTCACCAAACTGCTGTGATGTCTGTTCCCAGAACACGTGGCATCCTGGATCATGTAAGAAGCAGACTACATAGCCCGGTTTACTTATCCATTACATTTAAATTCATCATAAAAGTAATATTCATTTCAGTTGCATGTTATAACAATAATCTTGCTTCTCTCATTTGGACTTTTTAAAAATATTTGGGCTACTAAGAGCAGCAAGGAACCCTTCAATTCTCAGAAAATAGAAAATGTTCTAGAAAAGTTAAATTGAGTAGTATAAAAGCTTGCTACGATTCCAGTGTAAGTGTGTTCTTAAAATGGTTCTCCCACGTTCAGAAAATATAAATCTTTTTTTCTTTTCTTTCTTTCTTTCTTTTTTTTTGAAAATCAAAATGTTTCCAGCAAAAGGATTTCAACTTCAGTAGGAACACAGGAAGCTATATTACTACTAGATCTCAGATCATCCATCCATCTAGCTTTACTCCAGCCTTCCCTAACCTGGTACTTTCCAGATGTTGTTGAGCTCCACTCCCATCACCCTCAGCCATATTGCAACATCTGGCGAGCACCAAATAGGGAAAGCCTGGTCTACTCTGCCTGGCAGGGTCTCTCAGGCCAAGATCTTTCCCATCACCTGTTACAGGGTCCTTTTTCACCTATGTGGAGAGAAACACACAGCAGACAGCAATCCTACGAAGATGACTTCTTTTTTTTAAAGACACAAATAGTTTCAGACTAGTTTACATATTTAACCCCCTCTGCCCACAAGGCCAAAATCTTGCAATAACAGAAGATACGTAAAATGTGCCCTTTTTCACAATTCATCTCCAACAATCAGTTCCGATTTCTGGAAGCCTTTCCTCATAATATCTAATATGCTCAACACGGCTTGAGTAGATCAGTACGGTATTATCTGTGGAATGTTTTCTTCAGTGTTGCTGAGCCCCTTCATTACTTACTACAGGGAAACAGCAGCACCTCCAGGTAGAGGAACGTTGAAAATGAAGAGGAATATTCTAGAGATGTTCAAGAACATCTAAAGAATTGTATGGATCCAAATAATTAACAGAAGACCAACAGCAGTGAGCTGAGAACTTATCTTGAACCAAAATCATGGCCAGCAGCAGCCAGCCTCCCAATGCTCCACCAATGAAATCCTTAGCCCATCTGGGATTCAACAATGGTCATCTTAAAGGACAAAAATTAATGCTCCAAAAATTAGCTCCAAATTTCTTATGCCATGTTGGCCAACTACATATTTTTAAGAGGTGCTTGAGCAGATGTTTCATTTTTCTTCCTCAGCTTCTACCACCTGCATCCTAGCACTGCATACTGCCCCTCTCCCCAGTTACTTTGAGTTACTGAAAATTTGCCACTTCCACCCCTGCTTTCTCCACCAGATTCCTCCGCTCTTGAAGCAGATGAACTCTCTTTCCCACCAATTATGTGTATAGAGATCTCTGGGAAACATCTCCTACAACTGAACACTTGGCAAGGCCTGTGACCTTTCGCCTTCCTGCAAGTTTCCATGATGTCTGAAAGCATAGCAGAGTACACAGAATGAAAGTACCAGCAGCAGAGATGAAATATCCACTGGGTGGGAAGATGCCTCACTTCTAGTACTGTATCTAATGGTATTTTACGCCTTCCTTTTTCTTCCTTGAAAGTAGATGTGGGGATGGCGATTTGAATCTCTCCAACTTGCCATTCTGATCTCAAAGTTCAATAAAGTTATTGCATTCCAAAAAAATACCCCCAAACCAACCCTTTCAAATGGAATGCCCAATGGCAAAGTTAAAAGAGAGACCTCGCTCAGCTCGACAATCTGTGTAAGTAAATTATAATTATGAACAGACTCGTCTCATTTTTGCATTCTCAATATATTCTAAAGGAATGCTCAACACAATGTTCTTCTGCTGAAAGGGCAAAATGGGTTTGCAAATACATGCTTCTGGATTTTTTCATCTCCGTCTATAGCCTATAAAAGGATTCTGAGGTGAGTCACAATTCAGTAGGACTAAGATAGGTTATAAAGCAGAAGTTTCTGAAATCCCCTGATTCTGTCATTCATACACACACACACACACACACGACCCTTAACACGCCATGGCAACTCCTTGCCTGCTGATTTGCAGCAACTGCCATGCCTTTCTGCTTGAATTTCCATGTGCCTGAAGTCATACCGGTGATGGCAGGGAGAGTTCAGCAGAACGGAGTGGGGGAAAAGCAAGCAAGCAGATGGTAGCAAAGGCAAGCGGGATTAGGGATGCTTGAGGAATTCAATTTCCATGAACTCCAATGTGAACTGACCTGATCTGCGCCTAATGGACTAATGTGCAGATTGGAACCTAATTATCCTTTGGATTTTGCACTTCTCTGCATTTTGTGACCGTGCTCGCCTCAAAAAATATAGACAGGTAAAGTATATTTGTAAAATGTGTAGAGTGAGATAAAAAAAACAAGTTTAAATAGATATTGCCATACAGATGTATGGGGGGGGAAAGGAAGATTATTTCAGAAATAGGACAGAATTGACTTCTTTGTGAACACATGTGAAATTGAAAGCAGCGCTCAGCATTACTTATACCCCATTCCCTGGTCTGTGCAGTGAAACTAGACATATAGACATATAGACATGCATACATTTCCACAACACAGCAGTCGTAATAATGGTTATATACACATTGCAATTTTGACGCAGAATTGCATCTTAGCCCAAGATATCGGCAGCATTAGATGTGAAGTTACAGAACAGTCTGTAAAGGTCTTACTACATCCCCCAAAAAACAGAAGAGAAGAGACTACGGTTACAGATTTGCAGTTTGCCCCCAGGTCTAGCATTCTCAGAGTTCCCAAGTCTTTAACAGAACCTGTGAAAATTAAGTATTGCAGGGTGTGCACTGGTTGTATTTCATCTCTGCTCAGTGCTTTGTCAGCTCTTCATTGTTCTAATTTTGCCAGCTACTCTGGTACCAGGATGATCTACTATCCTTTTTGCCGTTTCACCTTCTCAAAGCGAGAAGATTTATAGCAATTCAGATATAATGATCTAGCAGCCCAGGGCAGCAGGGGACATGGAAAAGGGTCTTCTCATGATATACCCATTGCTGCTCACTCACCATTGTGCAGATGTTTTTCTTTGTTGTATATAAGCTGAAAGCTCGCCTTGCTATAGCCACTTTACCCACCTGAAGGTACATTTTTCTTCCTTACTCTGTGACTGTCCACCACAGAAGAGACTGCATCACCGCTGTTCGGGGTTTTACAATTAATAAGTTTATTAAATATTTCAGCCACTTTTCCCTTTACAAAGAGCAGCACAGTATATCTTTCCAAGACACTTTAGCATTTTAAAAAGGTATCTCATCTAACTTGGCAATTTACTTCTCTCTCTTGGAACCAGTGTTAGAAACTCAGATATATAAGCTAGGTGCCAAATGCCTCTTTAAACCAAGGTTGCAGTCGCCAAAACAGAATCTCTGGTTGCCATTTTGGGCAAGACGGCTCTTATTTTTCAAATGATGGACTGACTGCAATTAATATAATAATAATAAGAAGAAGAATTTATTATTTGTACACCGCCCATCTGGCTGGGTTTCCCCAGCCACTCGGCAGAGGGCCTTCTTGGTAGTGGCGCCCACCCTGTGAAACTCCTGGTTCCCTGTAGCTTTGCTTCTCGCAATGAGGTAACCGCCAGAACAACTGACACTCAGTTAAACATCTGGCTACTACAGATGACAACCTTGAGCTTGGTTAAGAACTTTGAGAACTTAAAGAAGAAAAGTCACTTGATCCAGGGACTGTCCACATATATATTGGCCAATTTCTACCTCTTTTTCTTAATAGTGACATGGATCATTCATAACATAAGAATATGAGGGTGGGGTAAGACAAACTACAACAATTAACTAAAACGTTGTTCACCAATCCTGCTCAGGCAGCACAGAAAAAGCATTTCAGATCCTGAAATTCATTCCGATTGTGCAGATAAAATATAACTGATAGAATTTTACAGGGATGTAAAAACAGTGTGAAAACTGTCAAGATCCAATGAGCCCCAGATCGTAGAGATGCCAGGTGCCATTGACCAGCCATCTTCACTTGGTCACAAGTGGCTAATAGGCAGGTGGAAAATGCATCTGCGCCTTGATAATTTTTAACACTGCTTGGAGCCCCTCCGATACATCAGACATGTGCACCAAAAGTTAAGTGATCAGAGAGCCACTAAGTTCATTTATCAATTAAAAAATAGGCAGCTAGAATGTAATCCCTCAAACCAACATGAATGCCACTAGAAAAGATCATGTGCATTTCAATACCATATATACACCCTAAGATAAGCGTCTTACAGAAGAAAAGGAGAGAAAAGGAAAGCCTTCAAATTGCACTTACTTTTACTGTAGCAGGTTGCAAGCACACCTTTGTCAGCTGGACTGGCACTTATGTGCCAAATTTCACCAACTTGATGCAGAAGAACATTTTTGTTTATAATGTTATTTTCATCATCAAAATCTATGATGTGAATCTACAAATGCAAGACAAGAACGGTTACTTCATGCATATTTTTTTTCAGAAGGGTGTGAAGCATACATTACAACTGTGTGAAACATACTATCAGTTTCATTTCATAAAAATGGGTGCACAGGAGTCACTGAAAACAACTATCGGTGAAATTGCTGATCGAGAAACCCCAGATCTGTCATGCTATGTCTACAGCTGCAACAGCTGTAGAGTCTCTATAAGGACATACAAAATGCAGGTTGATTTAGTCACTAAATCCCCACTCATTAAAACATACAAACTCCTATTCAAGTAACACAGACTATGGTAAGACCCCATATCTTACAGCAGAATTTGAACAAATGCAACTAATAGCTTTCCATGCTAGACAAGAGGGGAGGAGTCATATAGCATCACTACAAAGTCCTCATGTAGCCTTTTACTACTGAACGTTGGTACTGGGAAGATAAGTCAGTGGGTGCCAATGCAGTGCCTGTGGGCACTAGTATTCTAGCCAATACCTTCTTGCTCAGATCCTGTTTCCACTGGCTCAGCTTCTCCTAAACTGAAAATGTACCCTTCAACACATGCCCACCTTTCATTGGATAACAGGCCTGAGAACCCAACCTCCTTTCTCTTTTGAACAGAGAAGAGGTGCTATGAGCTTCTGTCCGTGTTTTATTGTAGGTGCCTCTCTTCTGGCATTTTTAGACGTAGCAGCCATCTTGGGTACTGCCACACACTCACAGCAACTTTTGTGGCTGGTGCCCATGGCACCTACTCAAAATTCAGAAGGCCCCCATTGGCCCCCAAAGGTAGGCTACCAAACTAAGATACACTAACATGCCAATATTGTTTGGTATGACTGATGGCAGTGCTCAAACACCTTACCCAACCTTTCTAACTTGAGACCCCTTAACCTGTAGCCTTCCAAATGTTGTTGGATTCTTGCTCCTATCAACCCCAGCCAGCAAAGTCAGGGAAAATGGAAGTCGTACTCCAACAATATCTGAAGGGTCACAGGGCCCCCTATCCCAGTCTTAACTGGAAGACCGTGATTACGAAACCTGAGAGCTGTTGCATGCAACCCTCCCCCCCCAAAAAAAGTCACTCCTTCTGTCTGCTGGGTACTACTCAAGAAATGTTGTAGGAAAGCTGACCTAACAGTGCTGATGCACTAGTGCATGTGAGAAAACTTTCTCCCAAGATCTTACAAAGTTATCTAATCGTTCACATGTACTTAGGATGTCTTAAGTTCTTCACTTTAGCAGGGATCAGGGTTTTAACCCATCAGATTGTGGGGAAAGTAGCTTGTTGTTGTTTACAGGCGGTGACCATTTTAGGCACATCCAATTGATGTGTGATCGCTGATGCATCAGTCCTTTTGGCCCTGGAAGAGGGCAGAACGAGGGTGGAAGGGGGGGGCTTATACGTGCTTTGCCAAGACATATGGGGGCCAGGAACAGAACCCCCACATGAAATATTGCCACCTGTATCTTAAATAAGGAGAAGAGTCATAACTCCGTAGCAGAGCATTCGCAGAATGTCCCGAGTTCAATCCCCAGCATCCCCAGATCTCTCTGAAAAACAGCAGCTAGTCAGTATGCAGACAATATTGAACTAGATGGACTAATGGTTCAACTCAGCATGGCAGCATCCTTTGTTCCTATGTATATTGAGCATGGCTAGCCTGAGGATGCCGCTGGTTTGCAACCCCCATCATCAGTAGCCAGAATAGCCTGAGGTCTGGGATATTGGGAGTTATGGTCCCTATAGAATCTGGAGGGCCACATCTGCCTTAAATGGAAATTCTATGCAAGTACAAGCCATGAGCAAAATAGAAAAGGGTGGTGGTGGAATATTTTTCAGGCCAATACCCTGTCAACACAGAGAAAGCTTTGAAACGCTTTAACAATTGCTTGCTTCTCTGGAGAGACCACAAGGGATTCGTTTCTGCAATCAATTGTCCTGAGATAAACCCCTTTAACTCATTTCCCTCTCCCATTTGCTAACATAATAAGAAAGCCATTCTGAGACTAAAGCAAGCTGGAAGCCAGAAGAGCATCCAGAGACAGATGTTCTATCTAGCTTGTTGCACAATGTCTGCCTAAGCTGGATGCCTACAATACAAAAAAGCCCTTTTAGTGTTTAGCCTGAACAGAGCACAATTTTAACAAAATCTTTGCTGGAAATAGAGCAGAGCAGATTGCACCAGGCTGGCTGGCTGCTTCATCTATATGCTCTCGCAGCCTCCTCTAAAAACAGGAAGCCTCATGTTGAAATTATGAAGTAGTCTCCTTGGCAGTGAAATTGATTCCCTAAAGGTGAGCTACAAATCAAAATTCAATTTGCTCTACCAACATGTATTATATGCCCCTACTAACCATATAAAGAGGGTCATGCAGCACATAAACCAGAAGTGCCTTCTGCCCTATCTCAGGTCCCTCAAAGTCAGGCATAGCAGCTTCCTTCTCACTGGTGTGATCATCATTCAGAACCACATCAGGCCCCGGGGACAAGTGTTATTAAATATAGCATGTCACCGGTTCCATAGGATTTTATCATTATTATTAATATTATTATTTTCCTAACTCTTTTGGCTTGGAGACGTGGAAAGCATTAAAAGGCAAAACCAGACAACATGTTGCAACACAGCTCTCTCGGGTATATCAGAAACATTCTGTGGGAAGAAGGGCAGTCAAACATCCTATATCCTAGGATATGTTTTCTCCAAGCACTCACAATTGTCACAGCTTTGGAAGCGTGGAGCAAAATTCAACAATCATTTTATTGTTCAATCAATCATTTGGTCTTTTATTTTGCTACAGGAGTAGGAAACATTGCTAGTCATTTCTGGGAGTTGGAGTTGGTGAAGGGCACCAAACCATCTAACTCTGCTTTAAACAAACTCCTGCACTCAGGCAAGAGAGACTGATGCTCCTCCTCCAGCAAGCTACCCAGAAAAAAAGAAATGCAAACATGTAGAGAGAAAGATGAGATTCAGGGAAGAGTTGTGGATGTCTGGAGAACCAGATGGGGCCAATGTCTCAAGTCCCCCCCCATCAGATATGCAGGGATTGACCTCTAAGTCCTACAATTCCACACTGGTTTTGCAGGAAACCTGATGCTTTATTTCTCTTTGTGGTTTAGAACAGGAGCAAGGAAACTCAGGCGCTGAGCCTCTCTAGATGGCCTCTGGAACACTTCCCATTCATGGCCCTCACTGACCCTACTTTGTAGCCAAAGTATTTTTGCCTGGCTGGAATGTGTCCTTGGACCCTAACGTCTCTTACTTGATCTGGATGGAGGAGAGCGTGGGCAAGTGTGCGTAAAAACCGCTCACTTTTGCCTCTGACCCTGCCAACCATGGTATGTGGCCTCCGGAAGGTTGCCCAGAAGATAACGTGTCCCTCAGGCCTTTAAAGGTTCCCCAACCCTATAGCTGTCCTTCTCTTAATTCTACCTGCTTTTGACATCCTGTCCTGACAATATATTTGTTTGAATTTAGTTAGAAGCATAGGTGTGTTGGAGAAAGCTAACAGGTAAAGTAGAAAAAGAGGTAGCTCAGTTTCAAAAGTTTGAGAAATGCAGCTTATTCAGGCAAATAAGAGCCTCCTCGTGTATTGCAAACATTCCTCTGTGGAAGACATTTTTACACAACAAAACGCATTAAGACAAAAAATAAACCAATCTTGTATCCCAAGGATAGAAACATGATTATATTTTCAATTCTTATTCTTCACTTTTTTTAAAAAAAATACCCCTTTACGTGCTTTTTTCTTACATGTACTCAGTCAACAACCTTAAAGTAGAAGATGCAGTAGGGATCACTTTGCCTGCCCTGTCTCTGCATTTTCACACCCAAATCCTGTATCAGGCTCCATACTTGCTTGTGTTGGCTTAATGTAAATGAACTGAACACAATTGAAAAATCACACCCGCCCCCCAATGCTTTATGACAATGCAATACCTTTCAGGGATTCCATTCACAATACGCCTCTGCCCAGGAGTGGAAGCCTAGTTAGTGCAACTTGGATGTCAAGCTACCATCTGCCGGAAAGTGTTGGAAGAATGGCCATTACCTGACCTAGGTAGAGAGCAGCGCTGCTAAATTAAGCAGTAACAACAGAGGCTCCTGACACTTCTTAGGGATTAATGACTGACTGAGGAGTTGATGGCTTCAAGCGCTGCTAAAGGCCATTAACCCTATCAACTCATTAGCACTCAGAGAAAGTGCCCTGCACCTCAATTATCAATGCTGGTAAGACATAAAATGGAAAGGACAGGGGCAGTGGGGAGCAAGGAGAAGCAGGCTCAAACAGCGTTTGGAGTCAATAGTAGAATTATTACCCAGATACAATCAGGCTGCTTGAGTGCTATCAATATTTTCCTTCTGCAAAAGTTTTAATGGCTTGGAGTATTTTCAAAACACTTGTATCTGCTGCTACAGGAAACTGTACGTTTAGGCATCAGCTGCAGGGAAGGAACTACAGTGGTGCCTCTCAAGACGAAAATAATCCGTTCCGCAAGTCTCTTCGTCTAGCGGTTTTTTCGTCTTGCGAAGCAACCCTATTAGCGGCTTAGCGCTATTAGCGGTTTAGCAGCTATTAAAGGCTTAGCAGCTAAAAGGCTATTAGCGGCTTAGCGGCTTAGAAAAAGGGGGGGGAGCGGAAAAAAATCGCAAGACTTGCAAGACGTTTTCGTCTTGCGAAGCAAGCCCATAGGGAAAATCGTCTTGCGAAGCAACTCAAAAACGGAAAACCCTTTCGTCTAGCGGGTTTTCCGTCTTGCGAGGCATTCGTCTTGCGGGGCACCACTGTACCGTATTTTTCGCTCCATAAGACACACTTTTTTCCTCCTAAAAAGTAAGGGGAAATGTCCGTGTGTCTTATGGAGCGAATGTGTGGTCAATCGCTGGCTCCCTTTCTGGCCCTGCCCCCTTGCCCAGGCCTCCATTGTTGAATGTTCTGCAGACGGAGGCTGTTTGTTTCCCCAGCGACATGTGACTGGCTGATTAGATTATCTGTCTGGAAACTGTAGAAACAGCTCCCTTTCCTTTCCTAAAGAGGCTGCAGAACTGTGAGTTGAACCCCACAAAAAAAGGATTTTTTCCCCTTTGCAAAGTAAGCTCAACAACTTTGAGCTGATCCTCACAAAACAGGGCTTTCCCCCTTTCCTCCTCTAAAAACTAGGTGCATCTTATGGAGCGAAAAATACGGTATATAATCCAAGACGTGATCCTACCAAAAATGGCATCCCCATCTCAAGTTCTTCCCTACTATGTATAATAGCACTCATCCCACAACACGCCATCAAGGCACTCCCCTGTCATGGAATGGAGCAGGTGAAATTACACGATGAAATTACTTCGCATAATGGCATCTACAACCTGTTATGGGGTATTCTGGGAGAAGCTGTCATGGGCAAAAACCAGAGTCCCGTGTCTCCAACAACATTTACTAATTATAAGAGAGAAGATATACCAATATGCCTAATAGTGAGCAGGTCTGATTTCCCCACCATCACAAAAAAGAACCACATTGGGCAGTATGGAACTAAATGTTTGCATTAGGGCAACAGCAATTCCCTTCCTTCCCCATGCTTGGCACCCTACGCCCTCCCCAAATCTGATCCAAAGGGTTGGGGGACCCTCCCTCAACAGATTTCAGGGGGCATGCAGTGGGAGAAGAGGAAGGGAGTCTTTCTGTTGCCTCTCAAAACATATTTTTCAGCCTTATACCAACAGATGTGCCCCAAGGTAAACTGTTCAAATAACTATATAGCTTCACTAAGTTCTTGTTTTTCCTTTTTAGACATGTTTATCATATTAGAAAGGTGGCAAACAAACAGTTCCAGCAACTTGCTTGTTTTATTTCATCATTGATTCTGAACAGGCTTGGCTGAGACTCAGAAACCAAGCATAAAGTTTTAAACTGTTGTGCAGGTTCATCAATGAACCACGTTCTTCCATTCGTCATTTCTCACTGCAGAGAAATTAAGTTCCATCAGAATGCTTTTTACAGCACAGGTCTGCTCAGAAGAAAGCCACATTGAGTTCAGTGGGGCTTGTTCCTAGGTGCAGATTACAGAATCCAACTAACTATATAAGCATTCTGTAGCCTCAAAGACCCTCCTTTAACCATTATTTAACATTAGAATGATTAGGATTTTCCTCACCATCCCCAGCTCAATTCCTAACACAGAACTTTACAACCAAATACTGTTGAAGATCACATCCAATATTTTTTAAAACAGCACTACATTTAAAACTTCAATTTGGCAAGCAAAAATCATTATCCCACTGAAGACTTTTAAAACATTTCCGATTCTATTTTAATACATCTTTCATACAAGTTTACCTGATTATCATATTTAAGAGACTGAGTTCCAACCAGAAACCGTATTGCATCTGTTTCTGCGGTCTGGGGTGTTAAAGCTCGTGCCTAAGGGGGGGGAGGATAAAAATACAATAATATCAAACACATTTTAGTATCTTGGAACATGCAGGACATCAGTTACCAAGAACGGTGTTTTTGACATTTAGTCCATCTGTATTTTGACTTTTTTTTATAAAAAAAGCAAGTTCTTTGTTACATAGATTTATTTTCTCCCAACTTCCCAAAAGCATGCTTGGTATAGAAGTGTGATAGGCTCATGAGTAAAATTGCCATGATTCTAGTGTTAGACACATTTCCAAAATTAATTTTAGAGAACCATCTCATCCATGAAAAAGATGCACAGAATGCTAGAGCAACTGGACAAATGTTCAAGGTAGAAATTTTTGTAGAAACAGCAACTGGGGAAAGCTGTAGACCAAGTAACTGAAAATATTATATTTTACTTTATATTTTAAACTTATTTCCTGAACAAGAAACAGCCCTCATATACTGCACAATGTGTTGCATCTGTGTAATTTAATATTTTCATAGGTTTTAGAGCAAAACATAATGGATTGGGTCCAAACTAAGTAACTTAAACCAAGGTTCCACTGAAATAAACATAAAAAGTTAGTTATGACTAACAAATTCTACTGATTCCAATGGGAACTATGCATGATTAATTTAGTCTGAATCAAACCCAAGATTTCCAGATTCCATACAGTTTTATTCCACTAACTTTTAAATTTAAATGGTCAGGACTAACTTAAGTTTATGTATTTCAGTGGGCCTACTATGAATAAAACTTAGTTGAATACAACCCACTTACCGTAGAACTGCAAGCAATTTTTTTAAAAAAATGAAGACACCTCACCTATACGTTTTCACATCGAGATTTGTTTGGTGCTTAAAATAGTTAACTAAAAAATAGGCACCTACTGAATAACTTAAATTTGGCAGCTAAACAGACTGGACCACCTGTTAAATATTTTCAATGGTTCCAGTTTGAAACAGAGTTTTACTGATAGCATTGCATGCATGCATAAAACAGAGATGGCACATTTATGATATGACTCTGGCACACAGTCCCAGTGGTCTCATTCACATGCACTGCTAAACTATGCCTTTATAAGAAAACACCCTGGGCACTGCAATCTTCCAACCCAACATGGCTACTAGGTGGAGTTTGGTAGCTTACCCTTCTGTTTTTTACTAAATGCAGGTTAGCAGCAACTCTGCACATTGGCAAACTGTGGCTAGTTTTAACTAAGGTCTACCAAAACAAGCCAAGACTAAATTAACTGAATCCTTAACTATGGTTAACCAAAAGGAGAAACAGGAAGTTCCAGTTGCTAAAAGCAACAGAATGGTAGAGCGTTCTTGTGTTCAGGTCCTGCTTTTGGACTTCCCAAGCACATCTGACTGACCGCTATAAGAACAGGAGGCTGGACTAGATTGGCTACTGACTTGATCTAGTAGGGCTCCTATTTCATTTTTCTCATCTCTTCCTTCCTGCCATATCAAAGGAGAAGGAAGAGGCTCAAGGTTTGTACATGCTTGCCCTTATAATGCTAAACCAAGGTTAGTGCCATGTACAAATCCCATCAGATACATTGCAACTGAAGCCTAAGCTAACTGTGGTTTCCAAATAGTCTTCAAAAGCAGTCCCATGCAGACTACATTACAGTAATCTAACCTACAGTAACTTGCGTGATATGGAGAGGAGGAGAATTCAGGTCAACACAGACCTCCCCTCCATTGTCTCAATGCCCTATCATGCTCTGCATGTACATGACCACCGATGGGGGAGAGCAAAGAACAGGACCTCAATGAGCTTTATCTAGTTCTTCCATGCGTAGGTGCTGCGCCCATGGTTTAAAGGAACGCTCATTAAACCAGGAGTGAGGAACCTCAAGCCCACAACCCTAATTAGGTCTAGCACAGTTCTCAATTTGGCCCACACAGCTGTTTTTCCCAAGCCACATCCATTTGCCCACACCCAGCATCATGTGACATGAGTTCTGGGACAAGTAAACTAAAGGTTGCCAATGCAAAATCAGGAGATTCAAAGTTCTCTGCAGATGGTGTGCTGGAAGGGAAGTTTGCTATCCTAAATCAGCTGGCTGGGGATGAGAGCAAGCCTGCTGGATCAACTGCAGAAAACTCAAATCGTAGAGCCAATCCCTGCAGAAAGCAGGCATGAAGTCACCACCTAACAGCTAACATGTGCTGGATTTTATTTTGCAGTGTGGCTTGTCATCCTACAAAGTTAATACTAATAGCACAGTGACATCAAGTAATTGACAGGTGGGCAAAGGCCTGCCCAGCTGTCAAAGTGGTTCACCAGGATTGGGGGAACCCAGGAACCAGCATGCTGGCCGGATCCAGTTCCCTAACCCAGTACAAAACAATTTCAAATCAATCATTTTATAACAGTATGGCACCCATTTAATCAAATGTGAACATTCAAGAAATGGACTATATCTTCTTGAAAACACCCTATTTTCCTGAGTGTGATCTATTTGTATACCATACATTCTGAAAAGCACCAAATGAGAAAAAGAACACTGACACCATCACCGCCTCTCCCCTGCAACGTTGACAGCACACTCCAAATTAACTTCACCAAGTTGAAAGGCAAAAGTTGTAGAACTGATTTCGCTCTCGAGCTGAGAAATTCAAGCAGAATCAACCAGAAAGGCAGAATCTCAGCTTCCCACCCACCCACCCACAACCTGGCACCCTCCAGATGTTTTGGCCTATAATTCCAACCATCCCCAGTTGGTACAGCTAATGGCCAGAGATCATGAGAATTGCAATCCAGAATTCACGAAAGGGCCCCAGGTTAGGGAAAGCTGTGCAAGGTTGGCGCACCCCCTCCTTCACCAGGGGTGCCAACTTGAAACAAGATGTTGTGGGGAGGGAAGGTAAGCCCTGCCCCACATGATTTATCACAAATTGCCATGCATGGACGCCATTTGAATGGCAATGCCCATCAACTTTGGGGGGAGTGGCCTCCTCAGGTATTTTATTGGGTAAAGGTAAAGGGACCCCTGACCATTAGGTCCAGTCGTGACCGACTCTGGGGTTGAGGAGCTCATCTCGCTTTATTGGCCGAGGGAGCCGGCGTACAGCTTCCGGGTCATGTGGCCAGCATGACTAAGCCGCTTCTGGCGAACCAGAGCAGCACACAGAAACGCCGTTTACCTTCCCGCCAGAGTACTTTTGAACTGCTAGGTTGGCAGGAGCAGGGACCGAGCAACGGGAGCTCACCCCGTCACGGGGATTCGAACCACCGACCTTCTGATTGGCAGGTCCTAGGCTCTGTGGTTTAATAATAATAATAATAATAATAATAATAACTTTTAATTATACCCCGCCCTCCCCAGCCAAGGCCGGGCTCAGGGCGGCTAACAAGCAATAATAAAAACAAGTTGAATGAATACAACTTAAAAACAAGATTAAAATACATTAAAACATCGAAACATTAACCCACAGCGCCACCCGCGTCCCTATTTTATTGTGTGGGGGAGGCCAAAAGGATCCCGGAGATCTAGGAGTTGGCTCCTATGCCCTTCACAGTTACTCCTCAATACTCATTGTGATTATTTATTTGGAAGGCGTGGTTCCGTTTTCTTATTGCGGGCAGTCAACTGGTTTAGCTGGCTGGACTGGTTTTGCTAAGCCTGCGAAAGCTTCGAGCACGCTTCTTTAAGGATGCGCGCCGTCCACACGTTCCCTCAAACAACCCGTGCGCCGGTGCTTCATTTACTGCCCCTGCGAGGAACAAACAGCGTAACTATCGGCAGGTGCTTCCCTATTACCTGGAACTCCAGCCCATAGATCACCGGAGCGTCGTCCTCCATGGCTGTCCAAAAGAGGCCTCAAGACGTGGCGGCTCTCCGATTCGGCGCCGCCGCGATGGGGAGCCTAGCCTCTCCTTCCCATCCAAACGCGTGTTGAAGGAAAAGGCGAAACACACAACAAAACGGGGCAGGTCCCGCGTCGGCTTCCGTCCTTACTTCCGGCGTGGCGTGTGTGAGGCGGCGCCGCGCAGGCGCACCACGCGTATTGGTTGGTTCCTCTCCTTCTATGCTTCCCCCGCCCCTCACGCACACGCACATCTTCGCCGCCGCGTCTCGGAGGCGTCGCCTTTTGCAGCTGTCAGTGGAAAGTAGGTGAGGGGGAGGCCAAGGGAGGGTGGGAAAGAGTGTCCTTTCCGTGGCCTTCCATCCTCCCTGGAGGCTTGGAGCAGGAAGGGGCGCCCGCTCTGGGCGCGGGGAGGTGCTACTCGCTCGTCCTCTTTGAAGAGCAACCCGGAAAAAAATCAGCTGTTGGCTCTTGAAAAGCCCGAGGTGACTGTGCCCCGCTTGGAGGAGAAGTGGGAATGGTCTTACGGGGGATGTTTTATTACACGCCCAGGCTAAATCATGATAAGGGGGGAACACCTCCCTGCATGTAGAAAGCTAGCTCGTCAGGGAGAAGTCGAAGTTGGAATCCTCCCTGGTGTCTTCTATACGGGCAGAGATTGTGTTGTGTGTGAAACTCAAATGTGAAACCCAGTTGCGTGTCTCTGCAGCCCGAAGTGGTGTGTAGAGAAACTTGTTTCGTGAGAACAACTAGTAAACCTGTGGGAGGTTTTGGTATCCCCTGCGTGGTATTCTAAACAGTAGCGTGCATTGTGATATTTTTCTGTAGATAGGCTTGTTAATCGTGTACAGTATGGTATTTTTTTATGGAGCAAAGGGAACAGATCCTCGTTTCGCTTGGTTTCCTAATCATAATTTGGAAAGTGGGAAAATAATTCCTGCTGCTGTTTTACAGATGGGACACTGAAGCTGATCTCAAGTGACTTGTCCTGGGATACTGAGGCTTGCCAGAGCAGAGATTAAAGGTATGTCTGTATTTTCATGAAGTCTTATAGGGAGAAATCTTGTTTCCTGTTAGTCTGTCTTAGAGAAATGCATTATCACCTGATCTCACCATATGAAAATTATTACCACATTAATCTTAACAAATGTTAAAATTACTTATTTGAACTTTTATTTTTTTTAAGTGGAATTTCAGCTTTTGAACACAGAGGTCTTGGTCTGGGTGAGAGAAACAGATGCTAGCATTCACATACCCTAAAACCTAACTTTCCCAGATTGGATCCACTAGCCAGCTCTCTCTTACACCCCATTCATATTTTATCTCTCTTGCACCCATTAGCTAGTCTGTTGAAACCTAAGAACAGACTCAACGTTGCTTATATGCCATTTTTACATCATCTGTTAAATGGTGCGGATTGGCAACTGCATAGGTTTGAGTCATAACCCTACTACCTGGCAATTAATGGACTATTTTTAGTTATAAAACTGGGATTATCAATGGAGACTTATGATAAATCATATTGGGGCTAGGGGACAAAGGCTGCTTCCTAAGCCCCAGGGTCCCTCCCTTGTTCTTCCATTTATTCTGCAGGCAAATCCCTCTGTGAGCCACGTCCATGGAGGGGTCTGCCAAGTTACATGCCCCTTCAGCCAGAACTCCTTGAGTTCATTGACTTTGCCCTATTGGCACTTTTGTCTCTCCCATCCAATGAAAAGATGGGACTCTAGGAAGAAGGATGGGGAGAGCAGGCCTTAGAAATAACAATCAACTGTTTATCTCTTTGAAGCCATCTGGAGAGGGACCATCAAGGGCTAAGTAGGTCAACAGTTAGACTTAATATAAAGTAGCTTTGTTTGCTCATATTACCCTAGGAAACAAAGTGATCGTAAGAGACCTAAGTTGACTGGGCAGAAATTCATCCCTGGTGGTTTCGCTTCGTAGTACAAACCTTAGTAGACTCAGCTGCCAGGAGTAGCTCCATGTTTGAGGCTAAACCCATGCACTAAGAGCTATGAGGCAGCTGTGGGAATGAGTAAGATTAAGTCAATATTGAGGAGATTCAGTCAAGAACAAAAGGGCCTAAGAAGAGCCTGCTGGATCAGGCCAATGGCCCTTTTAGTCCAGCATTCTTTTCTCATAGTGGTCAGCTAGGCTGTTGGACTGTCTGGGAGTGGCTACTTAGTGCTTTGCCATCTGTTTCTGCAGCACTTTCTGTTCTCATCTAAAAAGGGGGAAATCTTAGCTGCTTCTGCATTTGGTTCATTGCTATACCTTGTTGGACACGGAGTAGCCCTGAACCTTCTATGTGTACATTTAGTGCAGGGGTCAGCAAACTTTTTCAGCAGGGGGGCAGTCCACTGTCCCTCAGACCTTGTGGGGGGCTGGACTATATTTTGAAAAAAATAATGAACGAATTCCTATGCCCCACAAATAAGCCAGAGATACATTTTAAATAAAAGCACACATTCTACACATGTAAAAACACCAGGCAGGCCCCACAAATAACCCAGAGATGCATTTTAAATAAAAGGACACATTCTACTCATGTAAAAACACGCAGATTCCCGGACCGTCCGCAGGCTGGATTTAGAAGGCGATTTGGCCGTATCCAGCCCCCAGGCCTTAGTTTGCCTACCTATGATTTAATGTTTCAGCTTTCTTTTCTTGTCTCTGTGTATTAACAGACTTTTCACTTAGAAGAAGGAGTTGAACCTCTATTCAGCACCTGTGCTGATGGACAGGTTGATGAAGAAACAGAAACTGCACTAATAGAAAAAGCGAGTGGGAGGCAGCATCCAAATCATTTTTGTTACACTGTTTGAGTGATACTCTTTGCTTGATACTATTTCTGTTCTTAACTCTACAGTAGAGTAGGGTTTCTTTCCATTCATAGGCCCCGCCCCCTTTCTCCGCCCTCTAGATTGTTAGAACGAAAGACAGAGCTCCCGCTGCAAGGCTGACTGTTTCATAAGAAATCCCTTGGTGAGTGGTTGCTTTTATTTTTTCCTTTGCCCTGTTCCTAGTTTAGCTCAACAACTTCGAGCTGAACCCCCCAAAACCGGGGCCTTTGTCCCTAAAACAAAGCTCAACAACTTTGACCTGAACCCCCCAGATCACTGCGAGTTTTTAATTGTGTGAGTAGATCACAGTCTCTTGGAAGTTAGCTGTCCCTGCTGTAGAGTTAACTTCTTTTATTTGGAGCTTTTTGCATTTGAAGTACTGGGCATCTTAATTATTCAAATGGATATGTAGAACCTGATGTTTGCATCAGGTTTCCACTTTATGCATAAATCATCATAAGTTTCAGAATTGGTCACCAGCAGTCACATTCACTTGTAATTTTTTATCCAGAGCAATTATGGAAAACAAAGAAGGTGATGTTGAGGATGCCAAGATAAGAGGTTCAAGTGCGGCAGAAGGTGGCTGTGCTATCCAGCTCCCAGGTCACGAAGAACTCATGTTTCATGAAGAAACAATTGATCTTGGTGGAGATGAATTTGAGTCCGAAGAAAATGAGACCATCTCAGAAGATTCTAGTAACTTCATAGATAAACTTAATGAGCAGATGATGGAGAGTGTTGTTATATCAGATTCTCCAAATAATAGTGAAGATGATGCTGGCGATCTTGGTTGTCTTCAAGAAATTGTAAAACAAATGGACACAAAAGACATTCATGCACCAGAAGAAGAGCTGGAGGAAAAGGCAATTAGCAAAGAGAGTAAAAGTGAACTTGAAGGCGCTCCTAAAGTTATTTCTGATAGTGGAATTGGCGATCAACCTCCTTTGAAAGAAGAGTTGGTTCAAGAATCAGCAGAAAATGAATTGAAAGTGGAAAGTGATGAGCTGCTGAACTCTGCATCAAACAGTATTGATGAATGCAAATCTGAGGAGCAGATATCTTCCCCGCTTGCCGACAAATCACCCGTCAACCCTGAGCCTATCCCTGTGTGTACAATTTTCAGCCAGGGAAGTCGCATGAATGGTCAGCAGCAGTTCCTGCATGATGGCTTTGAGCCTCAGATGGTGAAGTCGCCTAGCTTAGGTGGTATAAGCGAGACTCCCATAAAAACTCTTCCGCAGGTGGTTCAGCCTAGTCCCAGCCTAAGCAAGTTTTTTGGCGAAGCCATTAATACTAATACTCTAGCTTCTGATTTTTTCGATTCATTTACCACATCCTCTTTTATTTCTGTCAGTAACCCTAATGCGAGCTCTTCTGTACCAGAACAAATGTCTTCTCTTGTAACAGCTGGGGAGTTCCATGACTCTGCCAGCCACAAATACTCTGTTAAAAATGGACGGTCTGAAGCTGGGAGGTCTGCATCTTCTCCAGAAATTTCACAGTCTCCAAAGCCATTTTCCCAGATCCAAGCTGTTTTTCAAGGTGGTGACGATCCTTTTGCATCTGTGCTGAATATGAGTGAGGTAGACAGGAGAAATGATGCTTGGCTTCCTAGTGATGCAACTAGGAATGTGTTGATCTCAGTAGCAACTCAGCAGTACAGTAATGTTTTCATAGACAAGGAAAATCTCACAATGCCTGGATTAAAGTTTGACAACATTCAGGTAAGCGTGTTCCATTGTGTCTTACTTCTTTGAATACTGTGTGGCTAATAATAAGCTAGGTAGCATGTACATTTTTCAGGTCAAGTTTTTCATTTGTGACATTTATATCCCACCTTTTCATAAAAATGCACCAGGCCACAGTATAATATAAGCAGTCTGCTCAGCATAATAACAAATAGCACAATGAAATCAGGTAAGAGCAGATAAAGAGAGAGAGAGAGAAAAGGCAGATGGTTATAAACATGATTTAACCCAGGGGTCGGCAAGGTTTACCTTGCCTGGGTTGGTTCACTCCAGCGGAGATCCCTCCATGGGCTGGATCACACACACGATTTCCAGCGTCTGAGTCTGCACAGATGCGATTTTCGGTGTCTGTGCGTGTGCAGACAGGATTTCCAGTGCCACGAAAGTGAGTCCCTGCACCGCACTGCACCGTTTTAGCGCAGCACGCAGGGACTAACTGAGCAGCGGCTCAGTTCAGCGGTGGCTCATGGGCCTTAGGTTGCCGACTCCTGATTTAACCTAATAGGAGGCAGTGAAGAGGC